CCAGCCTAACAGATTTAATTCTAGCACCAGCGACAAACTGGCTGATTAATACCCTGTCGCGTAACCCCTTGAGGGCGCCCTTCTCGCCTTCTGTCGCGACTTCAAGGATTCGATCATGAAGTCGCATAAGCGATCTAGAAAAATCCATCAGTGATTCTTCCTCCCTTTGAGTGCGCTCATAGAGGGCTTCTTGAAGAGACTGAACAGTCTCGTCCGCACCAAAACTCCTCTTAAGCAGTTTCTTTAGGGAAGCAATATTGTTTTTAATTTCATCCCCATGGCACTTAATCTCCTCCCGGGCTACCCCTGTTAAATGCTGAATAACAACCTTTGCTTGCTCATCCTCCGGGATACTGCATTGCTGAATGTACACATCTACTTCATCTAACCATTCTATTATAGTGGGGTCCCCTGCCCTTGTGGGTTTACCCGAAAACTTTGAAAGCTTGATTGGGCGCTGTGATACAGCCCGAGGCTTATCCTGCTTTAGGGCATTTGTCAGCCCTGTCACCAACTGGGTTATCAAATCTGTTTCTGAGTTAGCCATAATATTTGCTTCTGTGCCAAACAAAAATCCCTCAAGCACTCTCAATCAAACTTTCATAACTTGGGACACACTATTGCATATGTACACAGGTAAATGAGATAATGGGCAAACTACATGTATTAGGCAGACTTCAAACACACCTCGACAATACAACAACTGGGTATTTTGTGTTTTCAGGGCAACCCTTAATGAAATTATAGCCTACGTACTGTTCAACATACAATTAAAGGTGAAAGTTCATTAATCAGTCCTGCAGTTACAATACCATGAGCTGTTTCACCAGTCGATCCAGGCCGGAGACTTGTCAATCCTCAGTTCATCCACCGCAGCGTTGAACCGTCACTCCAGTACAGCAGGTGTAGCCGACTTGACTGTTGCCCTCTCGAGCTCCCCACACCAGTAGGCCCAGTCCAAGCGAGTCTCGGACATCAAGCTTCACGCCTCTGTCATCCAAATAGTGCTATCCGTCACAGCAACACCCCCGTTGTTCGAAGTGCAATAATTCAACGTCCAGCGAAGGCGTTTGTGTAGTTGCGGACCCCGTCTCCTCGCAGCGAAGACCGTACGTCCGCTGCCCACGGGTCTCGGTGCGGATCAAACGGCAGCTGTCACGGCACAGCGGACTTCCAAGACAGTCCGCTTTTCAGCAAGTCAGGCTCGATTGGGAAGGCCTGCAGCTCAGGTCTCGGTTGCATCAATGGATCGACGAACTCTAAAACCGTTCGCCGTATTTCGTCCCGTCTTGAAGCTAGCTAAGCAGCAGCCCAGGCAAAATGATCTCTCGACGATACGCTCCAAAATTCTGTTTTTGTCGTCGTCCAGTTCACGTTTCAAACACGTTACCCACACCCCATCCGTGTTACCAATTTGTAGTGTTATTTTGCCGTGAAGCAAAGGGGTATAGGCTTCAATAAAACTGGAACGAAAACATACACACTGACTCTTCTATGTGATTTACTTGTCGAGCTGATTTATTTTGCTTCTGTCCACCGAAAATCATGCCGAAACTTCCCTCATGTTTCCAAATATCATTCTGCCACTCATTTTTTTCTGTTGCGCGTACTCTTTTCCCGCGCCTCCAAATGTATACATTGTAATCATTTATTGTCTAGCGTATGACCCTGGCGACCTCGGCGGGTCTGCCCAGATACGGATACTTTTTATAGGTCTTGTCTGACGCCCTCTCTTGATCGCAATAATAACACAAAAATGCATGGCCTGACAAAAGATTATTTCGCTACATACATAAGGAAGAACGCATATTAATTTGGCAAAATAATGCATAATATGCACGTGGCATCAGTCTTTACAGACTTGTTTGTAGGAATAGATGAATCTCCACTGAATATCAATTCAAAGGGATTCCATTTTTTCATGAGAGTCTAACGGTACAGTTGTGTTGACAATGGAATATCCCTCAATCAATGTCTGTACTAAGGCGAAAACCTGTGCACACGCGATTACGTTAGAACAGATATTTAGTCAGCTAGCAGGCCTGCGTGTACATGTATTGAAAATATAACAGTAATGTCAATTATGCAATAGAATATATGCAGGTGGAGCATTCAAATTAAAAATGCCGATTTTAGTCGTTTTTGTATTGATTTAAAGCAGGATTTAGATTAATGATTAAAATAATTCAAATCAAACAACCCTGTTCCCCAAAAATACTCTACAAAATGCATATCAAGTATAAGAAGAAAGTCATCGGATAAATCGATCTGTCTGTGAAATGTATGTGATTCAACACATCTGAACTAAAATTTGTCTTAACATTTTAAACAGAAATTCAATGTTTGCTATAAGTTAGCAATATACCATTGCAATGCTAATAATCTGAATAAAAAAGGTGATTAAATATGTATCTGTGTATCGAATGAATCATGATCCAAAAGCAAGATTAAATCGAATCAAATGAAAATCGAATACATGTATGAGCCTTTATACAACACTCGGTGCTAACTACAATCATTGTTAGATCTCCAACTCTGCAACTTTTTAAAATAAATCTTTCGAAGTCATTTACCAACTTATTCTGGTATTTTGTTAACCTGTTAAGCCAGTTTGTTTTTCTACATTAACTGGCAACCATTGAGCAGCCTCAGTTACCTTGCTTAAAGAACTTCTTTTCAAAATTGCTATTTTTTTGCACCTTCGACAGAACACTCTCCTTTCACCATTTTTAAAACACTTTTAAAGGTAAACAAGATATCATCTCAATGAAATGAGCTACATTTCATATTTATTTCGCAGAAGAATGCAAATGCACGTGTCATCTGTCTAAGTATATAGGTCTTTACTGGTGTTCCAAATATACAAATTATGTCAATTATGTAATACAATATTTATTTTAATAATTAAATGCTGAAAAACAAATGTGTACAATACGTTAAATAAAATAACATTGCTATTAGTGTTTGCTCCAAATTTTAGTTTTATAGCGATACCGACAGTCGATAATTTATTGATAACTTCACCATTTTTTATATAAATGTTTTGTGCAACTTGCAAGAATCTGTAAGGAAATTTCCCAGTCGGCAAGTTATCATTTGCAAATAAACATTGTATGGCTTGTTATTATTTTACTGTTTGTACAGGAATGTACTTTACGAAGCTAATGGTTATATAATACAATACTGGAAAATCACTGTGTATTTTAGAAAAAACGGTTCAAGTATTATTATAAAATGTGAACATTTTTATCTTTAAAAACAATCATGCATGCACTCATTTGAGGGAAATCCGAATATTATGAAGTTCAACAAAATATTTATCTGTGAACGTTTCATTCAATGATGGTGAACCACAGTAATACCTCAGATTTAAATACCACAGTCCATAAACAACAAATGTCAATCGCAAAAAAAAAATGGCATTTGGCATTGGTTTAAGACGCTTAAAAAGCCATGTTTTAGCTATTAGTTTAGCCTGCCACCTTCTATATATTGTAAACGATTTCATTCCAATACACGGAGAGAAAAGACTAGAATCTTTTTTCTTAGGAATGAAAGTGAGCAAGAAGCGTGTCCTATTGATCCATCTTGATCAATAATGATTTTAATATATTGGCCACTTGAAACAGACTTTTTTCTTCAAACCATTTTCTTTTCGGATATTTCTTATCTGGGAATGTGCAAGACACTTTATCTAATGACAATTTTATTGACATAATCCAAGGGATCACGGGCGGCGGTCGCATGGCTCCCGCTGGTTTCTCTGTCACTACACGGTCCGTCAGCACCAAAGGCGGTCTCCTGCTGCATCGGGACCAGATAGCTGTCGTCTTTGACACCAGGTTCTTCGCGATGTTCGATGGGTCGCTTACCAACCACACCCGCACTAGGAGCTGCTACGTAGTCACGGTCTCCCTCCAACAGTTCTTCCAGCTCGTTAGCAACTTGGACGAAGGTGCAACGTGATTTTGGGTTGTCCTGCCAGCAACATACCATTATGCCGTAGCTGTATCAGTCAGCAAATGTAACAAGAATCATTAGATGCTGCATGCTTGATCGTATATCAAATTGTGTCTGCACTTTTACTTGAAACCCCCGACAATACACTTTCCATTATTACTGATTACTCGAGCACATTAACCCTACATTTTTCGAAAAATGTTTGAGAATTGAGTTACCCTTTTTTTGAAACCCCAAACAAAACACTCTTCACAGTTTCTCACAACTACAGAGTGTTATATTCCTTCTTTAAAGTAAGAAAAACCTCTGAGAGTGAAACAGATTCCTTCACTTTTAGAAAAAGTTGAGCAAAATACAAAGAACCATGTATACTTTTACAGCAGTTAAAACGACATTAGATGTGTAATTTTTTAAAAGTAATGGTGAGCGCTGTTTGAACATACACTTCTGGCGGGCAGTTCTTGGGAGCATCCATGCGTTGACCTCTCTTCAAGAAATCATACACATCTTGGTTGGGAATTCCTGGATACGGTTTTGCACCCTTACTGAAAATCTCCCATAGGAGCACACCGTATGACCACTGTAGAAAACCAAAGAAGACAAATATTTTTTTTCAATGTAAGAGACCATTCTAATGATGACTGTTCAATTGAGCTACCGAACAGTTGACATGAGCAAGCTGGAAAGGGTAGCCAAGATTAACGATGATTGACCAAACTACATTGTATTTGAGTCTTTATTGAACTGTTTAATGAGATCTTGTGTCAAATTTAAATAAAAACGTTTATTACTAAATTAACTTAGAAATCAGTTCGAGGTGGGCGTCTGAAGACGAAATACTCCAGCTAATGAGGGTCAGGCGCCTTGAAAACATACCCGATGTAAATTATCAATAAACTGACGTTTCATGACCGGACATCGAAGTTCATGTAGTTTCTCTTCGAAGGATAGTTCCACAGAACGCAAAGTGATGTGTTTTGCTTTCTTTTCCGTTAAGATCTTTATCTAAACATCATCTAACATTCCAATCAAAGATGGATTTAATTGCGTACTACGTCAGTCCTGGCGTTGTACACTCGACGTTCCATGGACTCGGGAGCCATCCATTTGATAGGCAGCTTAGCCTGGGCATCGCCGCTTGTGTAGTAATCCGATTCGTGCATGTCACGGGATAGTCCAAAATCCGCTATCTTCACCAGAAGATCACTATCCACCCTAAAGAGGTTGTTAAAAGTTGATATTACTTTGGGGTCACATCATTTAAGAATTGCAATGCCATTAATTCGAACTGTGGAGTTAATTCAATGAATGCATGTCCCTTGGTATCTCTGGTGCATTAAAATTATTTTCGATGAAACAGCTGACCTATTTCGTTTCGGTTTGCGGTAACACCATGTGGTAATAACTACTGCTTAGAAGATATTAGTTCTGAAAAGAACTTGTCCTGCTCATTATCAACTTTGCTAAGTAGTTTTTTGTTCTGATAAGAACAGTCCTGTTGTAAGTTCTAAACGAACTGACCGATTTCTCGTAACATTCATTTGGCTTTTACTCAAACACACATATAAAGACATGTGTAAAAAGCCCCGGATGATATAAAAGAGAGGATACACGTACATGCAATTTCTGGCCGCAAGATCTCTGTGGACAAACTTGTGCTGAGCCAAGTAACTCATACCGAGTGCAGCATGTGAGGCAAACCTCATCAGCAGAGATGTCGCCAAGGTCTAAATTGAAAGTAAAAACCTCCAATGAATAAATAAATACTGTTCTCAGATCAAAACACATGACATACTGTTTACGAAATGGGACAGCATTTTGTTCAATAAATCTTAATATTAATTATTAAACGTAACAACATGTACCAAAATCACCATTGAGTGAGCTCCAAACTCATGCCACTCATCACCTATTCTTTTATCAAACCTTCCACTACCTATTATCGACATTGATCGCTCTTGACTACACACCTGTTTCTTCTTGACCAGATATGTCTTGAGGTCACCGTTTGCCATGAAGGGTATCACCACCAAGGGGTTTTTGTCCGCGTCAAAGGTCAACCCCAGAAGCCCAAGAACGTTGACATGGTCGAAGGTTTTCATGATCAGGCCTTCTTCCAGGAACTTTACCACATTTTTCGGGTCCGAGGTGTCTATACATGTAAAAAATAAGGCAATTATATGTGTAAACTGGCACGCTAAACTTACATTTGGCCAAGCTACTACACAAAAACAGGAACTTGTATTTCAACTTATTTTCATCACCAGAGAAATGCAATAACCCAGAGACACAATCAATTCAGTTCAAGAACATTTTACAACCAACAATTCGCAATTCTGAACGAAAAGACTCTTTCGGCTCTTTCATTCAAGATGCACATTGATTAATGTTTTTCGTTCCTCTTTCTCGGTATAAGGTCATCCAACACCTCTTCTGTAACTCTAATCAGCAACAAGTATAATCAAGACCAAAATGCATACCATTCTGAAATGGGCCCTTTTTTTAACCGAGGAAAAACTTTTCAATGCTTTGTTTTGAATCCATGATACTGTCATAGAAAACATCTCTCACAAATGGCCGACATTCTCATCACCAACCTTGCACTGTCTTTACGGCCACAATTTGATCTTCCCCTGACGTATCGTGTAGAACAGCTTTCAGTACACGCCCAAATGCACCTGTAAAATTTATTCAAGTGTTTTATACTCATCTTTGCTGATTATCTTTTGCTGGTACGAAGACTAGCCAGCTGGCAGACCAACCGACCTACCGACTTACTAACAGACCCAGCGACTGGCCGAGTCTAAATAATTTTCTAAGGGTCGAAACGTGAAAATGTGTTTCATTCACGCCAATAACGGTTTGCACACACAGCCCCTTTATTCTCAGGTAAAATAACAGCTTACTCTTTGAACTCATGAAATGTTCATTGTTTCCTCGTACAAAGTCACTACCTTGTCCGAGAGTTTCCCCAAATTCCAGTTGGCTGAAGTCGATATGGATGTCGTCGGGAACAAAGCTGACCTTGTTGTTCAGGACAATGCGCTTTTGTTTTGGCTGAGTAGATTCCGACTGTTTCTGGGATCTATACCACTTGCGTCTTTTGACGTGGGAGTCAATTTCTGAGGAAAAGAGATACAATGTCGCATTAACAGTAAATAACGTAATATAGTGGTAAGTTTACGACCACGATCAGGCTTACAAATCAACAGACAAAACAACCTTTGCATGCTACACAAGATTCACAAGTTGTCTAAAATGGTAAACACAATCTTGACAAAAGAGTTCTATATTTATTTTTGTTTTTGTAGAGAAATTTGTTTCATCCTGTCTACAACTTGACAATTTACAGTCAAATGAGGAGCACGCCATTTGAATTCTTTTGCCGTGTATTTTACCATCAAAACCGGCTGCCCGTTAGCGGCCACCTTGAGAGTTTTTTTAGAAGTAGAACATAATTTAATACGGAGATGTGCAGCTACGTACTGTTTAATTTGTTTCTTAACTATCATAATTATGTTTGAAAATTAGGAATTGATAAGTAGCCGGTAGACACAAGTGATGAAGGATAATTGGCTTTGAAATTTGAAAGGGTTTCGTGTTGTTTACCATTTCGCCGTCTTGCGATCAAGTGATTTTAACTTACAAGAGCATACTCATATAGACTGAGATGATACTCTCTCTTCACCGCAGTTTTGTGCACCTGTTTCTAGCACTCAGGAAATAAATATTCGAGTAAACTGAAGTCATCTCTTGCCACCAGCACTTACCGAGATGAATCGCCACTATCCTGCCCAATAGTCTTCGGTCGTGGGTGCGCTTCCTTTGCAATTGTTTGCAATACACGAAGGTAGCAGCGAGCAGTATCGCCATGGAGAGTGGAATGACCAAACTCGGTACGAGTATAGCGACAAGTGGCACCGTACTGGGATAGACCAAATAGCCCAACCTAAATTTTAAGTTATTGTGGCGAACCTATGGAATAACACAAATGAAATAATAAACGATTCAACATAGACTTGAATAAACGATTCAACATAACTGACATAGACTTAACCAATTTGTTAGTGTCAACGGTATAATAATCACTTTTGAAGAAACAATCAACAATGACAAAGTAGTGTAATTACGTTTTTGGGAGAACTGGCCGAATGTTGGGTGTTTTTTAACCTTTCGGATTGAGTAATACAGATGTTCAATCCATCTGAGGAACAATGTTTAAACCTTGCTTAATAATATTCAATCCTAGATGAGCCGCTTTTCTTGGTCATTTTACAGCCAGAGGGGTCTTCTCTTCAGATTTCGGGAGTGTAATGACCGAATATTATGAAATTCTTTGACCGAAGAAATAATGATTCAAATTTGTTAATTGGTTTGCTTTCATAATGTCGAAACAACTGAACAAAAACTGAGAAAGAACATCACAGTTACAAAGTTATACTTAACATTTATTTGAAAAGGTCCAGAAAAACTTCATTTCTTTTGGATGTTTTAAGGATATAATATTAAATAAGCACAATGAAAAATTACCCGCAAGTTTGTAAGGGCGTACAGTGGCGGATCTATACCGGGAGGGTAAGGAAATAAGCCTCCCCCTTGGGGCCGCACAAGAAGGAAAAATCTCGAAAGAAAAGAACAATTGAAAGCTACCCCCCCCCCCCATTCAAAAATGGATCCGCCCCTTACTTACCCATACCACAGGCAGACCTTTCCCGGTATCTTCTCCCATGTAGTCACCGGCTGCTGGTGCCTCATCGGGCAATTCACATACGAGTGTTGTCCCAGTGATCAGGCTAACGGGACATCTCTCTACGCCGATCGTCACGATGATTTCTCCAGCTTTGATGGCGCTGTCAATCCGCTCGCCCTGTCAAAGCATCCACAGGTAATTCAAGTTCAATTGTTTGAAAGGAAATTTATTGGTATCTGCATTGGTATATTTCGGAAGAGTTTAGTCTTTTCGGTTGTGACAATTAATGCTCAACACTTTTATTTATTTCTAAATACGAAGGCCATATGGCTGTATCACACGTAAGAATTTCTGTCGTTTTTCATGTACATGAACTCCTACACACCGCGTGAGGACTGAGGTAAAAAAAAAAACCTTAACTTTTATTTCACATCACATTTACATTTGCTTTTGAATGACTGATCTGAGTGTGATATGAAGTTTTGTAACTCAGCAAGAGTTACCAAGTTAGGCCTACTGTATTTTTGGAAGATCCACTTGATTCAGGAGGAAGAGACATCAACTTGAACTTATCTTGTGTCACATATGAGAGGTGTTATCACTTTGCAAAGCGCTGTACAAGTGTGCTTCGTGCACGTTTACCGACAGGCCCCATATATCTAATACAGATAGAAAAATACAAAAAAAAAACAATGAAAGGATAGGCGCATAGAATAAGACACGCGTATACCAACCGTGATTGTCAAGTTTTTCTCTTCTTTTTCCTTCATACCACCTTCAAATTTGTTATAATTGGATCCTCAAAGTACTCCAAGTTGGCATCGTTATCCTGAGACCATGTCAACAGTTGAGTGACCCCATCCATGATGAAGCCAAAGGTCAAGTTTTCATTGCTTATGTCGAGGTCTGTTATGTTAGGAGACGGGCATTGCATCTCTGTTGCAGATTCACCTTGACATTCCTGCGAAATAAAGACCCACATCAGTAAGTTGACAATTCTGTCCAGCATTAGCTCCGGTTGACAATGGCACCCCTCTTTGTTTCTACTTTAAAACCGAAATGTGTTTAATGATGTAATGGCTGTCATTCTTTACACAGTACCCTTATTGCAATGTTCACATTTTAAGTGGTTGTTTGCGGTAACTTAGTAAAATAGAAGTTTTAAATGTTTCCTAATTATATATGTGGAAGAATGGAGCAAGTAGATATAATAAAGGAGGTTAAGCGAGGATAGGGCAGATATAAAATCATTTATACAGATAATAAGTATAACACATTTCTCACCTCATTTGCATTAGTGACAACGATTTGACGGTTTCTACTTGTGTTTAGAAAAGTGCCAGTAACCGTCAACATTCGACCCCTGACAATTAAATTACCGATAGCAAATACTGAAAATATATTCTATACACTGAAAGATATGGGCTGGTGTAACATCACTCTAAAACAATTCAGAAATGCACGAACATGTTCACTTTCAGATATTTGAGCAAATGACATTTGGAAGTTAAGAATAAAGCATAATAGTTCACTGTTCACTCAGTTAACAGTTGTCTTCAGTAATAAGAAGATTTGTATTAGTCTGCTTCTGAAAACAGCCATGCATAAACTTGGCTGCAAGCTTGCTACTTGACAGTGTATCGCGTATCTAACAGAAACATAACATTTCACTAATACCAGGACCATTTTCTTGTTGTGTATATACCAAAAACACTATACCAAAAAGCTATATTTAAAACACAGACATTTTCATAGGACAATAGAGGCTGTAATAAAAACTAGGTAGAAATAATGTGGTCGATACAAATTGAAGTATATACCAAAAACACTATATACCAAAAAGCTATACAAACTAGCCCATCATGTTAAAACAGATGAAGACAAAAAAATCATGCAGACTCACGAAACGATGCTTTTCAGAGGAGAGACCTCAGTAATGGTGGGATTCTCAGTGTACATGTACGTGTACAGATCTGCTGAGGTTCTCATGGCCCATCGAAGGAGACTTTCACAACACCTTGATATCCAACTTGGCCAGCAGTAGTTGTGCATTCTAGCATGGATTCAACCGGTTTGCTTTACAATTTGAGAAAGAAAAAAATCACTTGAGACAGAGGCCATGTAAAATTTTCTGCAGGGACGTAAACGTGAATTCATCTCTGTGTATGATGCTCCTTAATACTGAATGGATGTAAAGCAATTATTTTTCAAGGTAATTGGAAATTGGACAGGATAAAGTAGTTTTTTATAATGAAATATATTACTAACAAAAGCCGTTCCACAAAGGTGGGAAAGGAAAACCTTTTTAAGAAAAATAAAGCAACTGAAGCTTGATAGAGGTCCAAATGATTTTGTCGAAACTAGAAATTGTACCGATGTTGGGGAGATCCCTCTTTTTCCTGAATTAATAATTATCGTACAAAACACTGTTATTTGTTTCCAATGAATGCTTCAATAAATGTCATTCCACTAAGGGGAAAATTAGACAATGCTTCGATTTTTGCCGTATGCGCAACAATTTGAATAATGATGTGTATTACGACAAGGCACAATACCTTATTGTTATGCTGCAAGGATTGTCGCCGATGAACGCTTCAATATTGCGTCCTGTGTTGAGAGCTGTGCCATTCACACTAACTGCCGTCCCACCGGCTTCTGGGCCAAGGCGGGGTTGGAAATGTGTAATCGATGGGTCCTGTTAACAAAATACATCTTATTAAAACAATTTTAGAACTGTGTTTGTCTCTTACACAATTTCTACAACAATAATATTATTCAAATTAGGTTTGCCCTTCACCGACGTTTAAACACTGTATACTCAGTGTGTAACCTCCCGAGTAAAAGTTTGAGTCCCACCCGAGTGATTTTTTCCAACTTTCACTCGGGAGGTAACACACTGAGTATACAGTATTTAAACGTCGGTGAAGGGCAAAACCTTATTTGATTTATATCATCCCGACGCAAAATTCCATCTTATAAAAAAATATGCGGTACCCGCTGCTATGTACATCAGATTCGAACCAGCCAACCGATCCCGTTAGCTCGGTGGTTGAGTGCATGGTAAGACATCTGCACTAGAAAGCAGGAGGTCGTGGTTCGAGTCCCACCCGAGTGATTTTTTCCAACTTTCACTCGGGAGGTTACACACTGAGTATACAGTGTTTAAACGTAGGGTGAAGGGCAAAACATAATTTGATTTATATCACTCCGACGCAAACATTCCATCTTATAAAATTATATTATTTTGAATAAGTATTTTCTAGTTACACGTGCATAGAATCCTCGAGTATTATTGATTTTAAATATTTTGACGTTTCAAACGTAAATCTGACCTACGTTTTAGGAAATTCACTCAAATGCCTGGGATTTTCCCAAATATCCTCAACTCAAACATAAATGTTTTGGTATGAGATCAACTAATGCAGCTAAAATATATGTTATTATTGCTCCAGCTGACATAATGTGGTGCCGAACTGCTAGAAGGGAACATTCGTGAACAGATCTGGACCTCATTCTTGATCATTCATTCCGTGATTGCTATTTCAGTGTAAAAACATTTCTTGGACGCTTGTTCATTTTCCAAGCTGGACCTCAGTGGCTGAGTCAGTGTAAACGAGTGCGTGCAGGACGTGACTTACTTTGAATTGAAGTTGTCTGTTCCTGACTGTGCTGCAGTGTAGTACCATCTGCACCCGTGACTGTTAAAGTAACCAACTCAGCTTCTTCACTTTCTGGTCTCGTTCTGCAGCTGACACTGAAATATAAAGTGATAATGTGACATTAAGACAAAGAGGTTGAGCAAACCTTATCCACTATGTACACTTTAAAATTTTACAATGTTCCACAACATGGCAACAAAAGTACAAGGTAATGTCCTTGCATAAAGTATGATTTGACCCTACCTTGCTCCAATTTGGTAGGCTGAGCTTAATCCAGCCAGATCACAGGGCTGATTGCCAACCATCACTGACACGACATCCTCAAATCTCCGACCGATATCAGTTCCCATCACATCTATAACTGTGTTGCCTTCGGGCCCAGTCAAGGGAAATACCTAATGCGTGATTTTGGAAACATAATAACATAACACACAAAAACAAGTGCATGTAACATGAAACAAGCATTTCAATACAACACATTATTAGTAAAGATGCATTGGTAAATGCTCTTGAAAGGACAACTTGTTCAGCTTGGGGCTCATATGCAGTCATCCATAATATAAGCCTACTTTATAGACCATACACCTTTGC